AGAATCAGTAATAGCTGTATTAAGTAAAGTATAGTAAAGTAAAGATCCCTTTACACGCTCTTAGGCGCATCGGGCATATGGGAAGAGCACCCATATTTTTACAGACCAATTGGCACTTGGTGGGTAATGTGGTCAGCATTACGCCGACCGTCTTTACTTTCCCAGGACAGCCCATCCTGGTACCCATTTGAGGCTGGGTCGACCTGCGACGTCCCATACCACTTTAAAAATCCACGCAGCCCGCGCAGGTTTCGATCGCGGTACGTTGGATTACCAGTCAGACTTGCAAGGCCTTAGCAACGGAGTAGCTGTATTAGTAAAATACAATTCTGTCATAATGTAATTATTGTTCGTTGTATTTAAATATAGGCATGTGGAGTGGGATGCCAGCAACACGCCCACATCTGGATCGGACGGTCGTAGGTTCGGGTCCTGGTGGAGCCGGACTTTTTTTTTTTAAGTGACGCTGACTTCCAGGTCGACCCAGCCTTGAGTGAGTACCAGGTGCAGTTTTGGGAAGAAAAGGCGACCGGCGTGATGCTGACCACATCACCCACTAAGTGTCGATTGGTCTAAACCAATATAAGTCTAGCCCTATACGCCCAGTACGACTCAAGGCGTGGAAAGGGTCCTTCCCCCTTTTTTTAAATATGTGGTGTATATGTTATATGTACCTCTATAAATTTGGTGCAGCATAAACAAATACTGTTTCAACATACAATTTTTTTTTAATGCACCTGTTGTCATTTTTCCAGAAAGAAAATGGGACAGCCGATTCTGCCGGTGATGGACACAATGCAGTAAGAAAAGGTTAGTCTTAAAGTCAGTCGTTTTTATTTTTATATTACTACTACTATTATTGAAAATATTACATATAGGGCAACATCCGGTTCTGCTGATAACAGAGACAACAAAGAAATAATAGGTGTGTCGTAAAGTTAGTTGTTATTATTTTGTATCACTACTACTATTATTAATAATATTACATATACGGAAACATCCAATTTTGCCAATAACAAAATAATTGAGTAAGAAGAGGTAAGACGTAAAGTTAGTTGTTATTCTTTTGCATTGCTATTATTATTACAGCTTTAGAAATGATCAAAAACTATTCTATTCTATTGACTTCTTCACTTTTACCGGGTTGCAGCCCAGTGTCGTGGTTTAAAATATTTGTTTTGTGCCTCTCGCGTGATTTGAGAGACAGTTTTCTGGATCATCTGGCCGTATTCAGCTACTCCATCTATCCATATTTTCCTGGGTCTTCCTCTGGCCTTTCTTCCCGAAGTTCTACTGTAAAAAGCCTTATAGGCAATCTGATCCGGTTGCATTCTTACTAAATGACCAAACCACTTCAAAGACTAAATACGTAAATCCCTACCTGTGAAATGAGATTTCTAAGAAAAATGGCCAATTTAACCATATAGGACAAAGTTAGAAATGAAATTATGAAACAGACTGTAGGAACAACTCAGGCAGCAAATTCATTGAGAAACAGAAGAGCAAATGGTTTGGTTATTTGGTAATAAATGTGGAATGATGACATTAAAACGCTTCTACATCGACACGGAATGACAGTAGTCATTGCTGCCCATCGAGCAATGGTTTGCAAATGTTCCTTCCCACAAAGCCTAATTGCAGAAGTGGAAACAGATTATTATTACTGTTATTAATATTTTTATTATTATTATTATTATTATCATTATTATTATTATTATTATTATTATTATTATTACAAGTAGGACACCTTGAATTGTTCTTGCAAATAGAGGCGTTGCCACACGTAAATCAAGCAGCAGAGGGAATTATTGCGGTTCATGCTTCATATGTATTTTAAACAGGTCGTATCAGTCAAGGAAAAGTAGTTGTTTTATGTCTTTTTTTATGTTGGTGAAAAATGTATGTTTGTGGATAATTTATGTTGGTGGATAATTCATTTTTGTGGATAATTTATTTTGGTTTATTCAAAGGAGGAAAGCAATGTCAAACATACATAATAACTATTTGAAAACTGCCCAGTTCAAAACATCTGTGCTATCGTTGGTATAACGATGAGGTTTGGCATTCATACAATTCGACAATATACAAGGGCACTTCCGAACAGGTCTTTCCCTCCACTTAATATATATGTATACATATATATATATATATAGCTATATTTATCATTCTTTACTTTCATCATCATCATCATGTGCCTAGCCAAGCATTAGAATCAGGGATCAGGTTCACATTCTTGTCTCGACCTATCCACAATGCTAAGCAATCCAGGAATTATTCCTTGCGCCATCGCCTTGCTCCGTTTTCTTCAACTGTGCAAGTCGTTACCAGCTTTTCGATTGGATTCCTTCTGACGTACCCAACATTCATTGATCATCCACGTCTAATTCTCTTCTAATCAATTTCATCTTCCTTGATGACTACTGGAAGTCGTCTTGGCGGAGCGTCTGGACGCTCGCCTCAGATCGGTAGTGTGTGGGTTCGCTCCCTGGCGGAGCCGGTGATTTTTCAAAAATTACCTTGACTTCCAGGTCGACATAGCCTTGAGTGGGTACCAGCTGCAGTACTGGGAAGCAAAGGCAGCCGGCGTGATGCTCACCACATCACCCATGTTGTGTCGATTGGTCTATAAAATATAGGTATAGCCCTATATGTCCTATACGCCTATAGTCGTAGAAAAGGGTCCTTTACTTTTACTTTCACTTGATGACTACTGCCTCTTATGTTTTTCTATCATGCCATAATTTGTTTCTTCTTCTTTCTTCTTAAAAAATAGGTCTTCATTGTCAGTAAATATTGTTCAACTTGTCTTTTCCTTGTCTATGTCTTACATGCATATAACACACATATTTTATATCACCTAAACACTTTTTGCTACTGCAATTAACAGCTGAGTGACACGTTGTCTCATCACCAGGCATTAACACTCCCCAATTTTTTTAATCAGTGCATACTGGTTGTTAAATAAACATGTTGATTTTTTTTTTTAAAATTTGCTTTTAAATCCGAAACGAAGGCACTTCTAAAGACCATGTATCGATTAATGACAAGATCGTCGGTGGCGATGGAGCGGAACCTGGTGATATCCCATGGCAAGCTAGTATCAAGACACTTCTCCTTGAAAACAGGATTTGGCGATATGGCCATTTCTGTGGTGCGTCAATAATCAGTGAATTTTGGTTAATCAGTGCCGCACATTGTTTCGTGTAAGTATAATATAAAATGTGTGCAATTCGTGTGTACTTTAAAAAAAAAAAATACTTAACAGCACATTCACAGGCAGGGCTAAATCTAAATAAAAGTGAATGTTGATTATTGAAATAAGAATCGACATCTTAGCAACCCCTACTTTCAGACCGTAATGATCTATGTGTTCCTCCACACTGTTTACTCGCTCCCCAAAAGGCCCCTACAATGTTCAGCTTATCATACGTTAGATCACCACCAAAGGGTGTAGAGCCGGCCAGTCTGTCTGCCTGCTCATTTCCTCACTTAACGGCATGACCTAAAAATAAAAGTGAGCGTTATATCAAAGTATCAAACTTTGACGTGTTGTGTGTATGTAGCGCTTTTCCATGCTGTTTATTAAAAAAAAGTAATGGACCCTTTACCACGCCTTTAGGCGTATAGGGCATATAGGGCTAGACCTAAATTTTTATAGACCAATCGGTACAAGATGGGTGATGTGGTCAGCATCACGCTAGCCGATTTACTTCCCAGGACTGCACCCGGTACCCACTCCAGGCTGGTTAGACCTGGGAGCCAAAGTCATTTTTAAAAAGTCCGGCTCTGCCAGGGAGCGAAACCACGGCCTTCCGATCCGTGGCGAGCGTCTAGCCCCTCCGCCACTGTTTATACTGTTCCATAAACGTGTGGGGCACACGTATACACTGTTCTGTAGTTGATGAATAGTAACAAAATAAACCGATTCAGCCAGACACTAGTATTCAGAAACCGATCTCACAAGAAATATAGTATATATATATATATATATATGGCACCTATAGAATATCGTTTTATGTGGGCATGAGATCTTTAGTTTGTTTAAAATGACAAAAAGGCTGCCATCAGCACGCTCTGGGAAGAACTTAGAGCTAGGCCAGATGCAATGGTCAACCACTACACCTTGGTCTATGTCTAGAGGAGACAAAATGAGGTCGTCCTATTGCACAGCTGTTTTTCATTTAAATCAATTCATTATTAAATTAATTTTCATCCAGCTGATGCTCTCTGTTGTTCCAACTACTCAAGAACTTTTCTGGCATAAATTTGACTCATCTGCCTCTTTGTACTTACACTCATTGATCGTAACTAATTGTTGATGCTTTGTGCTCTTCAGCACTTTGGATGGACGAACAGCAACAACAATGTTTCTAATGTAATGAAATATAGTTAGGAAGGGGTTAAATGAATAAAGCATACATTTCAGACCAGCATCCAGGCACGCCAATCCATCACTAGGCGGCATGACAGAAAACAGTGATTAGAAAGCTGGCCCGACCAGTGATACAGATAAAACCTGGTACACTGCGACCAGTTAAAGCGAGTACGTTTATCTGAACGTGACCACCGGAGACGGATGACAGGGGGTGATTGAAAACCCACACGGAGAGAGAAGGAAGCGTGGGAAGAATACGATGAAGAGAGAGAAAGACAGTCGAGGGTAGCCGCCGAATAAAGCAGTTACGACAGTGAGTACCTAGCCACCGAAGAGACGAGTTTAGCACACATCGTGTGCAGATATATGAAACTTTGGTTTAGCTTGGCTAGAGAGATTAAAGAACTTATCGTGAGATATATGAACAGCCAACAATAAGAGACTAGAATGTTATACCATGTATAAACGAAGGGATTCATACTGCTTGACTTTACACTCATACAACTGTGTCACACTAATGTTACCTTTACTTTTCGTCGGTTGATTTCAGCACTAACTATTAATATTTTAGTTCACACATGCAAATAATTCACACGTCCATCAAACATTTTCTCAACTGTTTCAGTGATTTTCCGAAGTTCAAGTGGCAAGTCACTGTTGGCGAAATCAGTTTGAAGAAGGAAGACCCAGGGGAGCAAGTGTTTGAGGTGGAAAACATATATAATCATGAGCTGTATGGAAGTGAGTATATCATACTGTAATGGTAATGGTAATGTTAGTTTCAGCTTTATAGCAAACGGGTTACCCCACTGTTGTTCCGCTCCTGTGCCAACGAAAAACACACAGATTGACAGACCGCTGTCTCAGCTTAGACACTAGCATACACACGCATTAAATGTATACTGTGGCCAACAGAAGTGCTAACACAAAACACAAACAGTCTGACATTAGAAATGTAGTTCATCATCGACGGTAGCAGAGGCAAGCAACAGATTAGCAATTGCACACGCGATCAATTTAAATTACATAAGGATACCACCAATATTGCGACGACAGGCCACGCGCCATTTTGGGAATCTACAATTCACAACATCACGTTGTTCACAATCGAAAAAAATTCCAAATGAAATCTGCAACTCACATTCACTCAACTTAGTAGCTGGGCGAGGAAACTATATACTTTTAGTCTACAAATGGAGCAAAAATGCAACGACCACCGTCTGGCAGAAGCAAAAACTGTTCCACTACTTAAAACAGTGACCGTGTCTAGCATCTATTTTGACCGGAACGCTCATACATACCATAGTGTGTACTTTTAAACACCAATCCTCAATAATAAAGGTTGGCCGCACTGGATCCCTATCAGGCTTTGCCTCTTTTCTTCGTTGTGAAATTCTCAGACATCTGTTTGCATATCTCTTGATTTTGACATCCCATTTGTATCCTTGTCCAACTTATGCTTTTCTAGCTTCGACCTTTATTTCCGGTATGTTATTTAAAATAGTGTTGTGTTCAAGAGAACAAATGACAATCAGGAGATCTGTCAGACAGTATGGGATTTGCAGAGAATAAGGTTAAAACAATAATTTTCAGAAAAACCACTGAAGATAAACAAAGTTACTAAGATATCTTGAAAAAAAAACTTATGTATATACGTATGTATATATATATATATATATATATATATATATATATATATATATATATATATATATATATATATATATACGCATGTATATAATTAGACTATTAATGCATTACTGTATTCACTTGCTCACTATACAGAAGAAAAACAATTTGACTACGATGTAGCGTTAATCAAGATTAAACCTTCGTACGACGGCCGTGGTATCCAATTCAGCCGTTTTGTCCACAACGTCTGCATTGTTCGATATGCTGCTCCTCCAGTCAACACCCAGCTGCTAATTTCTGGATGGGGAGGACTCGAAAAACAACCATCTGGTAAGTCTGATAAATTTAACAGGACATCCTAGGAACAGGGCTTAGCATATTAGGCGGCAATGCATCTTTAAGGGGTCACGACATGCATTGTTTTCTATTTATGACAAACATATCACACTTTTCAGTGTGTTCGTTTTTAAAAGTTCGGCATTCGTAGAATAGATTACACACAAAAAGTATGTCATTTGAAAAAAACAAAAACAATTAGCATTGAAAAGTTAACACTTAAGACACCAACTCATGCATTTTTTTTTTTTTTAATGAAGAAAAAAGTTTAAAAGTCAGTTTTCTCACATCTCTGTATTTCTATTTGTTGTATGTGCAAAATCATAAAATCTTAGCTAATATAAAGACTAAAGACATGGCATTTGGTTTGGATACTCCTTAAAAAATATAATTTCGACAAGTCTATTTTAACGTAGATTGTAGAAAGTTTTTGTTCTTTTTAAATGTGATTATTGTCTTGTGATGCTATATTTATTTATTTCTGACACTGTGAACAAACCTACATTTTTAAATTCTACGAACAATATTTAAAAACATCTTTAAAGTAAGTAAACTACAACTGAATCTCTACATTGGATTAAAGTTTATGAATTCGTCATCTATTATTCAATACGAATGTTTGTTTTTCAAATTTAAGGAGTCTAAGTACATTTTTTTTAAGATGGCAGCTATTGCCATGGCAACCGTGATTTTGGTTTAACCTCAAGTATGCAACTGTATAAACATATAACCCTAAAAATGATCAATATAAAATAATTCGTCTAACACTGTAAATAAAATGAAAAAAATTGGTGTAGTGACCCCTTAAAACAGAACAATGGCATCTTAGATCACTTTAGATATCTGCAACGATAGAATACTCAAAATAATCACTTTATATGTTTGTAAAACACCTTATATACATTGGACTTGACAATGTATACACCTACAATCATATACAGTTATTACACATGCTTTGCATTATTGAACAGCCACACACACACAATTATTAGCAAACATATCCATTACTGAACAATAAGGAAACTTTATGCGTCGTAATTTTAAACCGGATCAGTTGAACAGGATGATGCTGATTAAGCTACTACTATTAAAAATCAACGGAGCCTGACATTTCCAAAAATGGACTTGGCTCCCAGGTCGACCTAGCTTTAAATGGGTACCGGGTACAATCCATGGAAGTAAAAGCGTCTGGGGTGATGTTGGCGACATGACCCGCTGAGTGTCCGGGGTGGGGGGTCTATAGAATGTAGGTCTAGCCCTATATGTCCAATACGCCTGACGGTGTGGAGAAGAGACCTTTATTTTACTTATTACTAGAAATCATCCTCCTCGTTTGTTGTTATATCATTATAGGATTGTAGCCCAGTGTGTTGATTTTATGTATTCGTCTTGCACTTCTCAGTTTTTGGGTTCCTTCCTCATCCTGTCACGATTTGTCTTGTGCTTCTGCAGTTGGTTGTTTTCCTTGCTCCTAAATTTGTCCTTCCATCGTGATGTTCTGTTATAAAATGTGGCATATTCAGTTTGGTCTGGCTCCGTACTTACTACAGTGTCCAAACACACACACACACACACACGCACACACACACACACACACACACACACACACATATATATATATATATATATATATATACATGGCAAACTGTACTGACAATTGCACAGGACAGAAAAGCATGGACAGTCCTCTATGAAGCCTCATCTTCCACTAGGCATAATGATAATTAATAATGATGATGTGATGATACACACACACACGCACACACACACACACACATATATATATATATATATATATTATATATATATATATATATATATATATATATATATATATATATATATATATTATTGTTTCATTTCGCGCGTTTTTATTACTGGACGGGAAAGCAAGTGCGCTAAAGGCTATTGATTATCAAGGTGCAGTTAATTGATAGGTGCATCCTAAGGTATTCCAGTGTGAAATTTAAATAATTTCACTCAGTCAATTACACATATCTTGAAAGATGGGCACAGGATATAAGTGACTCCTTGAGTATGAAAGTACATAAGGCGGGAGAGTTGGGGAGAGGCCTTGTTTCTTTGAGACAGACTGTAATGAAAGCGACGTTCTGCAAAGGACTTGCTACATGTTCCTGATGATGAAATTATACATATTTTGAATTTCCAAATTTTGACATATAGTTATGTTCTTTTCAGTAGATATGATTTTTTGTTTCCGTTTTTCTTTTCTTTTCTTTCGCCAGCAATTTTGATAGCTAAAGCTCTTTATTATCTGCCTTTCAATGTAAATCAAGCACGGTTAATCTATGAGTGCAGAGACAGATTATAAACAGCATGTTGATTCCAACATTAAGATACCTGTTTAAAACATGAATAATATCTAGAACCAATGTACGCAAAACCACCAATTGCGAGATAAGATGCCTAAGAAAAGCAGCCAACATAACAATAAAAGATCGAGTGAATAATGATATTATCATATAAACTGTGGGAACAACACCTTGTACTAGGTTTATCGAGAAGAACATGCGCTGCGTGGTCTCGAGGCATGGTGTCCGACTTGAGTGCTAGAGGTTCCGTGTTCAATCCCCTGTAAGGGCTAGGATTGTTTCACCTGGAAATGTACTTCTAGTAATAATCCCTGGTCTCTGGGTAGTGAGATCGGACGCCCGTGTGCATTGTTGCTCACGTAAAAAAATCCCTTGGCAGTTGGAAATCTAAAAAAGTAGCCTAACTGCGCTACCCGAATGCCTAAGCGAACAGTACTGTGAAGGGAGGAGAAGATGTTATTTTTTGGAAGGCCAGTTCCTTTGCAGAAAAATGTTAAAGAATCTGATATTTTTTTTTTATTTTTATTTTTTTATTTTTTTTTTTTTAAAACTTGTTCTCCTTTTTCTGCTTTGTCTTTTCGGGGCTTTGATTTGGTTGATTCTTGTCAGGAGCAACTGGCTCACCACAGTCCTGATGAGATTAATGCAGCGGGTAGTGCCGAGGGGATCTGGCCGATATTCGACATTCAGAGGAAAGGCAAAACTAACATTCAGATTGCTATTGGCATCAGTGATGCAAGACGGACGTATAATAAGAATGCTACTTGCATAATTGGGAGTAGAAACCTGCGCTCGCTGTTGAAGAAGGGGGTGGAGCGCTTATGGGAATGCCCTAGTGCTGTGATATCGTTTCTTGAATCAACCCAGCTCAGCTGAAGCAAATGACTGCGCAAAGGGGATTGCTTCTGCCTTCTCCTCCAGATGTTTCGAAAATCTGACATTGCCCGGTCATTCCAGACAATGCGATAACGGCCTGTTTGGATATTGTTGGAGTCATACTTCGCTCTAAAACCACTGGGTTCTAACCGTACCTTTTTCCATGGGGATGTAAACAAAAGACGAAAGCTTCGTGACTCAGTTTGACGTTTTCAAGCTCGCATTCTGAACAAAAGTCGTGATCCAGGCAAAAAAACCGTTGTTGCCACTGTATCCTATTGTGGAGTCAGACTTCTGCGACGGACATACCCGCCTGCTAGTCATTGCTCTCACATAAATTAACTAACATATGATAAACTACATTTTCCAGAAACGCAAAGCACTCCAGATGTCCTGCAATTCGCCTCTGTACCCCTCCTTGATCAACGAGCATGTGAACAGAAGCACCCCTACATGATCACAGACCGCATGTTCTGTGCTGGCTATCCAGATAAAGAGATTAGTGTTTGTCAAGGGGATAGTGGTGGACCTCTTGTGTATAAAACTGAAGGTAAAAACAGCCCTCCCCCCCCCCCCCCCCCAAGCATGACTGGTTTGAGTTCTGCGTGTGAATGTGTGTGTGCGCGTAAGAGCGCGTGCGTGTGTGAATGTGTGTCTGTGTGTGTTTGTGTGTCTGTGTGTCTCTGTGAGTGTATGCGTGTCTGTGTCTGTATATCTGTGTCTGTTTATGTATGTATGTGTGTGTGTGCAGACGTGCATATGTGTGTGTCTGTGTGTGGGTATGTATGTGTGTGTATGTGTGTGTGTCTATATACGCGTGTCTGTATGTGCTTATGTGTGTCTGTGTGCGTCTGTGTGTGTATGTGTCTGCGTTTGTCTGTGTGTGTGTCTGTGTCTGTGTGTGTGTGTCTGTGTATGTGTAATCGTGCTGGCATTTGTGTGTGTGTGTCCGTAACGAAGCTGTCAAGCCGCTTGCCTTTCGCTCTGAAGGTTAATCATTCGTTTCTTGGAAGCGACGTTTAGCTCATTAGCACACAGCTTTGACGGAGATCTATGGGAATCGCCTGCGGATCTTAAGGTCGTGTGTTCGGTCCCTGACAAGCCGGACTTAAAACAAAAATGACCTTGACGCCCAGTACGACCCAGCCTTGAGTGGGTACTAGGTGCTGTCCTGGGAAGTAATGGCGGTAGGTGTGATGCTGAATATAGATCTTGCCCTACATGCCCTATATGCCTAATGGCATTGAAAAGGCCCTTTACTTACATTATTTTTGAAACCAAATTCAACACAAGTTGTGACCAGAAAATTCAAAGGACATGAAACCAGATGGTCTAATCAACCAAGATAAACAGAAAACCGTGAAATACGTAATGGTCCAAAAATATTTACATTATAATCTAATAGAATGAGTGAATGAATCGAGAATTAAAATCACTGCACTCGAGACATTCACTCGCGTGCTCCGTTTCCTTTGGTAGCCAAAGAAGTGTCGACATGCTAATATTACCAGCTTAAAGATTTACCTGATTAAAGAGTCGCCAATCCTACTTTACTTTACCAACCGTAAAGCTTGCCACTTGGTCGTCCAGATATACTGACTACTCTTATATGCAAGGACACAACGAAACATCGTGTGGGAGGAGCCTCGGTGAGCTGGTCCAAGTAATTCGTGGAAAGGAAAATCTTATTCCTGACAGTCCATCGTGTCCGAATTGTCTGCCAGTGTCCGTCTGCCATCTGCCAACAAAGTCTAACAAGTGTCCGATAAACTAACCGTAAACTTGCCACTTGGATGTCCAGGTAAGCTGACTGCTCTAATTATGCTACCGCAGCGACTATGTAAATAAACTTCGAATCTCACAGTACGTGTTGCATAGTCACCAAATTCATCTTGTCCCTGTCCAAGAACATCAGGTAATACGAGCAGAATGAGCAGATCAACCCTGAGCCTCATGAACTCAGGTGGGTCCACCCTCTGAAATTGTCTAGCAGCTCGTGGGCCGAAACATTTGTCGACGAGAGATTTCTTCTACTGATGATTGGTAGACTCCTGCTGTACATGCTCCCCTGTGGAGTTTCTTCTTATTCACTGTGCTTCATTTCACCTTATTTCACTTTTACCTCACTTTGTTTCACTTCACTTTACTTTGCTTGACTTAACTACACTTCACTCCACTTTGGTTGACTTACACTTCACTTTACTACTCTCCACTTTGCATGCCTTTATATTACCTAAACTCTCTCTACTTCACTTCACTTCACTTCACTACAGTTCACAATACTTATTTTCATTGTATTTTGCTCCACTTCACTATATTTCACTTCACTTTACGTCACATCACTTTACTCAATTTTGCTTCAATTCACTTCACGTCACTTCATCTTTCTTTACTTCACTTTACTTTTCTTTACTTCTCTTTACTCCACTTTTCTTGTTTTCACTTCAATTCACTGTTCTTTACTCACTGGGTAACATTTTTTTTTCTTCAGAAGACAACATCCTGTATGGAATAACATCCTGGGGTGTTGGATGCGCTATACCTGACGTACCTGCTGTCTTTGCACGGGTGGCTGCAGTTTATGACTGGATTAGGAACGTGACACAGTTCAACAGTGACAACATTAACCAGACTAGGATTAATTGCATGAAAAATTGGATATAAAAAGCCTCCATTGACATTGACTTGCTGTGTTGAAAGCAAAATTATATTATCGCATTTATTACGTTGTTCACATTTGTTTTATTGCTCCTTTTTCATCATCTTTTTTCTCTTCTTCTTCTTCTTCTTCTTCTTCTTCTTCTTCTTCTTCTTCTTCTTCTTCTTCTTCTTCTTCTTCTTCTTCTTCTTCTTCTTCTTCTTCTTCTTCTTCTTCTTCTTCTTCTTCTTCTTCTTCTTCTTCTTCTTTTTCTTCTTCTTCTTCTTCTTCTTCTTCTTCTTCTTCTTCTTCTTCTTCTTCTTCTTCTTCTTCTTCTTCTTCTTCTTCTTCTTCTTCTTCTTCTTCTTCTTCTACTTCTTCTTCTTCTTCTTCTTCTTCTTCTTCTTCTTCTTCTTCTTCTTCTTCTTCTTCTTCTTCTTCTTCTTCTTCTTCTTCTTCTTCTTCTTCTTCTTCTTCTTCTTCTTCTTCTTCTTCCTAATGGCTTATCGGACATGACCAAAGGTTCTCCGATCTCCCTCTGAGTATGTCTCCAAGTGTTGTTAGGCTAACAACTTTCATTCTGTTCTGGTTGATGTAACCACGTGTGGCCACCGCATGATTTTTCTCTCTGGCTGCTCCACAAGGTACACCTAGAGTATACAGTCTGTTCAGTAAAAAATCATTTTCAACGAGATCGAAAGCCTCACAACGTTTAGTCCCTCGTATGGCATTAATGATGTTTCTCCTGTCAATAGAAGGCCCCTTCCTGGTAGTCGCACTGCCAGCCAGAGCTTCTGCTCTCTCATTGCCTTTCACACCACCATCACCATAGACACAAATCAGAAGTCTTCTTTTTCGTGTTCACCAGCTGTAGACTCGAGTGGAAACTTCTGGTTGTTCATCCACTTCTGGACTGCGTTCCTGTTCCAGAACCTAAGTGTTGCGTGTGCATCCGTTTTACAGATTTGATTATTTGTATGCAGACTGCTGGTTCCTTGTCTCTAAGGCAGATGAACTCCAACTTTGAAGAAAACTAACAATTAGTCGACTTTTACGACATGCTTTTGGGTGGGTAGTGGGTCTATTCTTGTTTTCACTATAACAGGGCCCCCGGAATCTACATAGCGGGGGGGAGGAGGGGGGGAACTAGAGGTGATTTTGCTAAACGCTGCGGGCTGAATCAAATGGAGCCACTGTTGTCATTATGTACCTCGCCTTAATCTTCTGTAGCAGGCTCACTGAGGCGCTGTATTATTACAGGTAAAAAAAAATACACGGCTTGATCTTAGCTATGATAACATATGATGTACATATGATTACATGATACTAGTAAAAATGACTTTTTTTATTCCAGTATGAAAGAAACATTTGCTGCATGGAGAGTTAACAAAGCAACTTTAAGAAACCGTAAACAGAAAAATAAAAATTAAAAAAAAAAAAAAAAAAAGAGCTACATGCGATAGCGAAGGATAGAACGACTTGGAATGAGTTGGTTAAGGCCCTATGCTCTACTTGGGGGTTAGTAAGACAGAAGAAGAAACTGTAATTGCGGTGTACCCGTTTGCATAATGGTTGCAGTATTTGCGTCTTTCGGCCGACACATCCGACTTCTGCATGCATTTGTTGCCCGAGTTAACCTTTTTGGTGCTAGACACATTAGTAAGTAAGTAAATGCAATATTGTCTGCTAGGTCCTTGGCTGTTGTCTAAGGGGTGTACTCTAAGTGATGATATGACTGACACACTACGATGAAACAGATGTAACGAGTAGACATCATCTTCATGATACATAACTGTTCATTAACATTTGAGCACTTCCACAATATGTCCAGACCGTGTCCTACTCAACAAGTACAGCATTCGAGCACCACATCGTGCAGACACCAATACATTCAATCGTGACGCATTCGCACTCAGGAGTTCTCCGTCTTCACTTCAACATCTACATATGGATAACTCCGGTCATTGCATTCGTGGTTTCCCGCAACTGAGTCAGATGGACAGCACTTTAATGAATGTTGTATTCTAGTCGTCTTCTTGATGTAATGAGTTTCACGTTGACAGGGATTCCTCTTGACTGGATCACACACACACCCTCTCGTTCGCCCGGCTCTCTAGCGGAATTGGCTAAACCGGATTTCGCGGAGACCGGGTGACGTACTCCTTGTTGTCCGGGTTCAATCCCGGGGGTAGGCAGGAAAGCCACATTTTCTCCCAGATTGACGGTATTTACAATGGAATCAAGGCCGAAAGGTTGCGATATCCATAATACCGAGCCTAAGGGTTAACAACTCATGGCTTCTGGATACTAAAACAAACAAACAACCCTCTCGTTCCAACGATCCAACACATACTGTCTAATGAGAACGTGGTCTGAACTTATAACCAAGTGTTGGGATCCACGGGGCGACACGAAAGTCGCTTCCCCGTTGAGAACCTCGATTTCTCTGAGTGTCTGGCTTCTCTCGGTTTTATGGTGACCCTCGAGCATGCCCCACAACCTTCTCCATCAGGAAATCCCCCGTGTGAAAATATCCCACATTGCAGTAAAGGACCCTTTTCAATGCCTTTAGGCGTATAGGGCATACAGGGCTAGACCTATATTTTATAGACCAATCGGCAAAAGATAGGCGATGGGGTCAGCATCACACCGGCCGTCTTTACTTCCCGGGACTGCACCTGGTACCCACTCAAGGCTGTGTCGACCTAAGAGACTAGGTCATTTTTGAAAAGACTCCCGCTCAGCCAGGTAGCCAACCCACGACCTTCCGATCCGCGGCGAGCGTCTAGCCACTCCGCCACCGCGACTTCCAGACACATTAGATGTCATACAAATCAAACTCAATAGTTCCTGTGTTTGTTCAAGAGCACAGTTATTTTGTGGGCGGGGGAGAGTAGAATTATTGTTTATTAACAGGCATTTGGAAAAGACAACATTTATATATTAGCTAGCGGCGTCCGTGGCTAAGGCGTTGCGAGTCCGACTCGTAAGCTAGCATACCGCGATCGAAACCCACTGCAGGCTGCGTGGATTTTTGTCGTGGTATGGGACGTCGCAGGTCGACCCAGCCTAAAATGGGTACCAGGATGGGCTGTCCTGGGAAAGTAAAGACAGCCGGCGTAATGCTGACCACATTACCCACAGAGTGCTGATGGTCTGTAAAAAATATGGGAACCAGCGTCAAGCAAGAAGCATTAACTAACCTGAACAGGCAGACAATTTTTACACTACTGAAGGACCTTTGGGGAAAGCGATCCATGTTGAAGCTGAAGAAAGTCACAGATAGAATAGTCACCACGCTCAACAAGACTACGAATCGAAAGGTGGTGGGTTCTGGTTCTAACGGAGGCGGACTATTTTCCTTTTTTTCTTTCTTTTTAAAATGACTGTTGCTCACAGGTCGACTCAACCTTGAGTACAGTCCTGGGAAATAAAGGCGGCCGGCGTAATGTTGTCCCTATCACCCATATAGTGCCGATTGGTCTATAAAGTATAGGTCTAGCCCTACATACCCAGTACGTCTAAAGGCTAGGAAACAAGTCCTTGAAGTAGAAAATCTATGTTGGTTAGGAACGATAAACGCATTCTCCTGGAACCTTAATAGTCTTTTGAGAAGATTTCATAGAACGGGCATCTATTCGGACTGCCATCTAATTCCTAGCCCTATAATTGTTGCAATAATTCACAGATTATCGGACATTCGGGTTCTAGTATTGTAAGTGTGAAAAATGAAATGAGTGAATGAATTACCGATGAGTTCACAGCACCTTTCTTGTGAACGCTAGAACGCGAGCCTTCCTCTACTTTACTGGCCGACCAAAGCGGACAAGCTGATGGTGCTAGTTATTTAGTTTAGGGGCCGCGTTGGCGCAGTCGATAGGAGGCTCGCTTTCAAATCCAGCTGCAGTCACAGTCGGTGTTCGAAACCGGGCAGTTCCTGGGGTTTACCCAGCCTCTAGGAAATGGGTAGCAGAGTTGACACGGAGGAACGTCGCTGTAGTTACAGAGTTACGTGCGGACGGCGACACAGGCAGACAGTTTCTTATCAGCTGTCTGTACTGGTCGCAGAGCACTTATGGTTTATAACTAGGGCTGTACCGAATAGTCATTTTCCTTTTTCGGCCGAATACGAACAGTGGGACCAACTATTCGTCCAAATACGAATACGAATAGTGTATCATCATCATCAGGTGCTTTGCCGACTGACGTGGGTGATTATGCCTCGCCACAATCTGCGATCTGCTGCAGCATGTATTAGTTCGTGTGCTAAGACACCTCCATGCCATGCAACAAAACTGTCAAGAAAATTCAAGAATGGGGTCTGATATATTGGCCAATGTTAAGATTCAACTATCATTTAGCTTGATCAATACTGTTGTGTGTGTCAGTTTGTAACAGTATGCAGCATCGTTACAACTACTGTGTGCGTTTTTGTATGTCACTGTTTAATACAGTACGACATCCCTTCAACTCTTTAATGGGTTTCGCTCAACAAGATATTCAATACTGAACTGATTAGCGTGTTGTTAACTGAGATGGCAGAGTACCTCTTACTGTTCCTGTTTCAGATTTTGAAACAATTAATGCACGGTCATTTCGGAAAGTGATTCAATAAGTGGTTTCTCTAGCTCAAATCTGACGGATTAAAATATGTTGATGACGGTCTGCAAATGAACATTGTCAACAGGTGACATGCAGATGTTAGCATGCATTATAGATTTAAAACAATAAAAGATAGCCTCAGAAGGATTCTCATCAGATCCTACAGCACGTCTACAACAACAACAAAAAATCTTAATAGTGTCTGTGGATAAGTTCTTATTCTTACTAGTGTGGCACAAAGACTGACCATCTCCCGAAACAATTATCCTGCACCCACTCCTAGTCATATTGTTTCTGATATCAACAGTCTTTGGTCAAGGGTAGGACGACCTATGTGTAAGCAAGCCATCGTGTTACTGTGATAATCGTCTAACTTTGAGTGTGTCAGAAATGGTATATTGTATGTATGTATATATATATATACACACACACACGTATAAAACGCATTAAAAATAAATACTGACGTCCAAAAAGATCTGAAAATCCAGCAAGATTGGCTAGAAAGCAGCATTTTTTTGGGGGGTCTTTGAAACCACACATCTTGGTGTGTCACACACGATCTCATTTAAGGCCTTAAAGATGCATAATCAATATCTTGGAGGGAAAGAGAAAGACAAAGAGAGAAGATTCATGACAGTCTGGATGTTTGTCAGCACACGAACTGATACATGCTGCAGGAGATCGACGATTGTAGAGTGCCATGATCACACACTCCAGTCGGCAAGGCACCTGAATCCCTGTAAGCATGCCCCTATGTCAGAAAGTAGCATATCATTTAAGGCTCTCGTATCCATGATACTGAATTTCTATCACTACAGATGGATATCGTTCAAATCGTGTCTTTTACCTGCGACGCTATATAGCAGAATATCTACATAAAATGTCGATATAATCAATTATTGATGCATGTTTTCGAAACCAGGCTGTGAAAGTCATGGGTGAATAAATGGTTACATTATATCCCAAACACAGTGTCACGTGTTGTACCTCAATGTTGAAAAAAAAATCGAATCCAGTTCAGACACAAAAGTAGGAATACATACACTGGTAGATTTTTTTTCCTAGCGTTTATTTCAAATAGGTAATTTATCATTTGCCTATTACAAGTGGCGAAAAAAGAAAAGCGTTCTTATTTTATAAACATGTAATAATCAATCAGGGGCCGTCTTATGGTTGGCTAAAAGGGATCGCCAACACGCTCTCACGTCTTGATAGTGCACTTAGTCATACCTCTGGTAGTGAATCTATTGATCTTGCTGCCATTCCTTTTATAATGTTGTCAGCCTCTAGTTCGCTTGCCTTCGACGTTTCCTTTCAGCATGCGTTTTAAAAGACTATTATGTCTTTTAATGTTATCGAATAATTTGAGTTATTATTTTAACGCCTTTCAGTAACTCTGTTTTCTCTCGTAGACTCACAAGAACTTCTGTATTTGACTAACATTGTTTCCATTCTTCTGTACATCCAAATCTCTAACGATTCAGTTGGATTGTCTAGTTGCTTGTTCTCTGCCCACTTCTAGTTGTTTCTGCCCCGTACGGCAGCGTATAGTATACATGATAATTGACGATATAAACAAGCATGCAGGCAATCAACATTTGCTGGTTTACTAAATTCATTATTGAGAATCGCGTCATTATAGTGGCTAGATGCTGGCCCTGCCAACTAGAAGATCTGAAGTTCGAATCTCAATCGCCAAGAGTTTTGTTCAAAACATAAACCTGGTTTTCATGATGAATGAGCTTAAAATGTAAAAGTTCCCTTTTACACGGCCTGAAGACGTATCAACATGAACTTCCCGACATATATTTATAACCAATCGGTTTTTCGATTTTCTGGGGCAAGGGAGTTGGGAGGGGGAGTTGGGGAGTGGGGGGGGGGGGGGGGGCTACAGGTGAATATTAGCATAAAGGAAGTGCTCGTATTAGCAGAAATTACTAATATAAAGAATAAAAGCAACTGTTTAAAAAAAATAATAACATCGTTCACGGTTTTTCGCATGCACTGCCAGACTGTTCCACATTGTCACTGTGCAGCTTTGTTGTCTTTTCAATCCAATCGTAAAACTTGCTGACTCTTGCATAGACACCAGGTTTATCAGGTTTGGCACATCCGTCCCCCCAGGACACAATGCCCAGTAACACGACAGCATCTGTAAGCAACGTGATCTTTTACTTTATATTGATTCAAAGAGTGACACATTTAAACCAATAAAAAAAAAACCTAGAAGATCGGGGAGACGATGGAAGACATGTACATTTAAAAGCAACGGTTTCGATAAAGTCTTTATTATCAGAGTACTAAAGACAAGACATACTTCTTTCACTTCCCTCTTCTCTTTTTTTGTCAGATTTTTCTTTATCCTGCTGCTCCTGCTCCTCCAGAACTTCTAATTTTTCTTCTTCTTCTTCTTCTTCTTCTTCTTCTTCTTCTTCTTCTTCTTCTTCTTCTTCTTCTTCTTCTTCTTCTTCTTCTTCTTCTTCTTCTGCTTCTTCTTCTTCTTCTTCTTCTTCTTCTTCTTCTTTCTTCTTCTTCTTCTTCTTCTTCTTCTTCTTCTTCTCTCCTCCTCCTTCTCCTCCTTCTTCTTCTTCTTCTCCTCCTCCTGCATCTTTAAGGCCCTCAGTATACTTCCTCAAAGTTTGTCAGCGAGATGTAAAACTCTTTTGTGTGCACTTTTCAATGCGTTGTATATGTTGGTTGTCAATTCTTAAAGGCTTTCCTTGAAGCCATCGTTGTACATTTTGCCTGGTCATCTTTTCGCTCTGTTTGTCGTTGTTAATCGCATCTTTTTTTTTTTTTTTTTTTTACACCGGCAGTTTTTCTCTGTTATGATTAGGCGTTCGTTTGTTTTAGTAAGTTTCCAAATTTGAGATGTAGACACATGCCGTGATTGTAACAGACTCACTGAGTATGTTGAGAAAGGCAGACACAGGCATGCTCCATACAGAATGGCAAGCATCGCTTCAGAGGCCCCGGGTAAAAGTTTCGTGTGCATTTTTTCTTCAGGAGATGCTGGTGTGTTGGGAAAAGAGCAGGCAGATAGGCTGGCCGGTTCTGCACCACTTGGTGGGGAATTAATGTATGACAAGGTAAGTGTTGTGAGTGCATTTTGGACACCAGTGAACAAACAGATCATTACGGTCTGAGCAGACTGGCGTTGCATGGAGTTACCAAGGGATCTGGCAGACGCTCAACACTCATGGAAAGGACTTGACGCATTTATACTTATACAATTACTCGTACCATCGGAATTGGAACTCTTCGCTTGCTGGAAGTGTCTCGAGTGCTGTGATGTCGATTCTTAATTTAACATTTAAGATTAATACTAGTAGCATAAAGTTATAGACCTGATTAAATTTACCTGCTTTACAAATATATAATTTTTCGAGACATAATAGAACTGGAAACCAGAACGGCCAATGCACCAGTGGAATATAACTTGTTACGGCCGGTATGAAACCAGTTATCCTTACCAGTGTAACACTGTAGGTAACACCTGACTGGTGTAGCCGTTATAACTTTTTTGAGAGTTGAACCTGGGTCTACTGGGTCTATCTGGGTTCTACATTGTCGGTCTGCCGTGCAGACATAAATTTGTAAATCTCAACACGTTGTGGTAAACCTTCAATTTTCAGCTCTAAGGTGGCAAACTGATCGATCGATCGATGAAACCAGAAAACGTAATGATGCGTTTGGATCTTCTCGATTCCAACTCTTTCTTTGTCAACTAAGGTGAGAAAGAGAATACTCAAGAGCTATGAATTCCTCTCCTGGTTTATGAAAGTGAATCATGGGTATCCAATAGTGAAAAAGAAATGTGGAAGCGGCGGAGATGTGGTTTTATAAACGAATGATAACACTTTTGATAAAGATATAGAGCGATGAAGAGGTCTTGAAAAAAAACCCAGCAAAGTTAACTTATTGCCTACATCAGAAGGAGGCATTCTACATTTTTTGGCCATATCATCAGAAGGAGAAAATTGGAATACATCGCGCTGGTGGAAAAGTTGTAGGGTAAACAAATATAAGGAGCCCGAAAGAGAAGGTTATAGACAAATCGAAAATCAGTTGTGTCAGAACTGATTGAAAGCACAGGAGACAGTAGATTGTGGAAAATACGACTACGTTTACCATACGGTATGAACTACAAGAAGGAAACAGTTCGACTGAGATACCTAGTACTCGTGAGAATTATTTGGATTCGTTTGGTCTGTGAAGGATTGCAATGAAAGCACGACGATTCTTCCATAATTTAACCACCAGTATATATAAGCAGAAGAATCTCAGCAGAACGAACACTTCTTCTCTACGTTCAGCGGCTGTATATGCCGGGAGAAAGTCTTGGTGGTTTGTCCAGTTCGATGCTTGAGTATTGCGTGCGCATCAGGTCTTCACATATGGCTAATGTGTATGCAGACTGTTGGTTCCATGACTTTCAGACTGGTGATCCTATCTAAGTCTGTCAAACTCCTGGCTAGAAAGTGGAACCTGTTTATAGGAGGACCACGCAAATGTAATATAGATCTGATATTTTTCTAGCCTTCGACTTGTTTGTATAGTTATTTTGTCATGATATAAAAAAAAAGAAAGGTTAGGCTTTGTTTTTTGTTTTTGTTTCGTTAGTGTTTGCAATGATGGGAATTCCCAGGGAACCCTAGAGAGTTTACTCGGTAACATAAGAATGTCAGAGAGCCAAGAAAACTAGGGACACAAGGGAAAGGTTTAAGTTCCGTGTATTGTGAGATATTACTATCGAGAACACATAACAGTGAATGCACAGTATAGTCGAGGGATCGGCAATAATCTAGTCAATACTTGCTGATGGGTGTGTTCTCATCTGCTGTCTTTGTACTAACATAACAACTGTACCAAGGAAAGATCAGAGTGTTCATGGGCCAATTTCCTTGTCATATTGTTATCTCACGTCCCCCCCCCTCCCCCTCCCCACCACCCCCTCTTTTTTTTAAGCTAGTTTATATTTCCCGAGAACAAATAGGTTATATCCCATGAATTATTACTACAGACATTGATCACGTTAAATCTGACCTTTAGTTTTGTATACTACGGGGCCTCCACTGTCGCCCTGGCATGAGTCGATCGTGCTATTGAAGAAGCCTGCACAAAACATACGGTCTGTGATTTCTCCCGGATATGCCATTTCACATTTACTCTGATCAATGAGAGGAACAACAGCTTTCTGCAGTACATCAGGCGTGTCTTGAAATTCTGTAATATTCAACCGTAAACCTATATATCTGCATGTTTGTCTGTCGGCCTGTTGGACTAAAGGCATGGAATAAAAGTTAAATGCTTTTGACAATAACTGACACATAAGACTGATCTCTTTTTTTTTCTCACTCTAGAATGGCTCGCTGCGTCAGGGCAGTAAGAGATCTCTGGAACGGGCCCTTCTGTTCGCTTCGTATAAAGTACTTTTCAGTGTCTCTGATATTTCGGCGGTCCATTGTCTGTGTGGTCAGTCTCTGGTTTTGTTACCACTGTATCTGTATAGCATTGCTCTCTGCAGTGCCCTGTCTGATGCCAATCTAGTTACATGGCCAAACCATTTGATTTGTTGTCTGCCTATAATGTTCATTCAGTATTGGTTCTTTGCCGACTCTCCTTTTGATATCATTGTTCCTAAGCCGATCTTTCCTCGTTATATCTAGCATTGTACGTAAACATTTCATTTCTGTCGCGACTATCTTCCTTCTCTCTTCTGGAGACAGCGTCCATGTTTGACATCGACAGAAAAGCGTTGGTACGAATATTGTATTGAGCAGTGTTCGTTTGGTGTTCATATCCACATATTTGTAACTTAAAATTGGTGCAATGTCGCACAAAACTGTGTTGGTTTTATTGCATTTTTGCTGGATTTCTTCATTGATTCTCCCGTCTTCTAAAAAAAAAAAAAAAGAAATGCTACCCAGTCATGTGAAAGCCTTCGCTTCCTTTAATTGGTGTTAATCAATTTTGACATTGGTGATTCTTTTTTTTCTGGAGAACGTCATCACTTCTGTTGTGTCTTTTACTTTGTTTTTCAGATCACGGCAAATTGATGGTCATTTACTTCCGCCTTTACTTCCCTGGGTCGACCTGGAAGTCAAGGTCATTTTTTTAAATAGTCCGGCTCCGTCAGGAAGGGAACCCGCGACCTTCCGATCCGCACACGAGCGTCAAGCTCCTACGCCACGGCTATTCTCGATTCTGTTACACGTCCTCTGTATTCACCTCTTCTCATAATTTTACTCAATATAGCGTCCTATTCTGTCTTTTAGCTGTTGTTACTGGCGAAGGCCTAGAAATGTTTATTATTCCTTCGCTCCACTCGAATTCATCCTTTTTGATATTCATTATTTTTCTTAGGCTTTCGAAAATTGGTGACTTAGTTCTAATAGTGAAATTAAAAATGTCCAACTCTTTTTTTTCAAGCTTTGAAAAGCTACTGATGTCCTGCCACTGCGTGTCATAATTTCTTTCAATATTTTTCTGTGTCCATCATTTAACTACACACACACAAGTTAATTGATTTGTTGGTTTAATTATTTCGTCTGTGGCTAAGGCGTTGCGAGTCTGACTCGTTATTCCAACGTACCGCGATAGAAACCCTCTGCTGGCTGCGTGGATTTTTATCATGGTCGCAGGTCTACCCAGCCTAAAATGGGTGTCAGGATGGCTGTCCTGGGGAAGTAAAGACGGCCGGCGTAATGCTGACCACATTACCCAACTAGTGCCGATTGGTCTGTAAATATAGGGGGTGCTCTTCCCAAAAGCCCGATGCCCCAAAGGCGTGAAAAGAGATCTTTACTTTACCTTACTTTACTTATTTAATTCTTTCTGTCTCTGGTTTTACATATGATGGATCAAGTTATTGATGTCTTATATATATATATATATATATATATATATATATATATATATATATATATATATATATATATATATATATATATATATATATATATATATATATATCCTTACAGGACGCTGCAGAACCAACCTTAACAGCCCCTGGCTGTTGTGTGGTTTTCTCTTGGCAAATTTACGTCCAGTAGTTTGCCATTGCTTACTGGACGGTCGGCTTTCTTGATACCACTGTCGAAACCAACGCAAGGCCCATTGCCCGCAACTGGGATCGAACCCGGCATCACG